AAAAAAATTGGTGAGGCATTTAAACATAATTTTTGCCCCATGGGGAAGGGAATTTGAATGTGCAAATTATCAAAAGTTCAATCACTGGGGGGAGGGGTTGCCCCTGGGTGTGCGGGATGTTGAAGTTTTCGAGGCATGTCATACTTCTGCTGCTTAAAAAACAAATAATTTTAGTTTTTCACACAGGCGAGGGAAAGGGAAATGGTACCAGAAAACCAAACAGGTATCGCATGTTTCATTTCAAGCTATTTATTCGTAGTGTATAGTACATTTTCTAATGAATACTTAATATATAGAGTACAATATGCATTTTCTGTGTAAAGTCTGTGAAGCTCACACAATCCTTTACAGTACGTAGAATATAATGAATGTTGCGCTATGTTTAGTTACAATGACATTACTATTTACTACTAACAGCTAGCTACACACAAAACCCCTCACATGTGTAACACATTACCATTTCCCACCTCTAAACTTAAGCCTTTGACTCACAGGAGTGATTTAAAAAGTAATTTCTCCCTAAAATATCCATACATTACCCAGGAAACAGGTAATGAGAATACTTAAAATTATCAGGTAGAGGGGAGAATGAACAATCAAATCCTGAAACTGTTCATAGAGTACCGGAAATTATAACAATTTTTGACACTCTAACCCCAAAGAATATGAATAAAGATGACATATAAAAGAATATCTTTATCCACTTAAACAAATGAAGTGTTAAAAATTCCTGTGAAGGATAAAACTGGCCTTTAACCCTTAAACTCCCAAGAACTCATTAGTAATTCTCCTTACTGTCTGCTAAATGATTCTCATTATGCAAGTTTGGAGAATTTGGCATCAGATCAATTGGTAATCTTATAACTGATATTTTTCTCTATTCTCATCACTTGTCTGCATGATATTGTTGAGATATAATAAGGAGAAATTCTGTCTTGATCACTCATTGGAATCAAAGGGTTAAGAGCTACCCATAGTGTTTTATCTATTTTAAGTTACTTATACTTTAACTCTAATACTTCAGAAGCAATCATCGCGAAAGCAATCATTTTTCAGTTATGACAATGTAGGTCTCTTTGATTGGCTTTGCATACAGTAATAAAAAAGATTTAAAACAGTATTCTGCTATTATTTCCATGAAAGGTTAAGAAACCTCAGATTCCAAAACCAAAAACATTTACCCAGTTCGTGATTGAATAACATGTTACAATTCCCAATAACTCTAAGATATGTCTGTCTTCAATATGAAGATAAGAGTCAAGTAAAGTCATAATGTGACTTACACTCATTAACAAACTGTAGGAGAATCTTTGCTGCAGTTATTGTTTACATAACAGTCTGAAGCAAAACCCTCTCTTTGCTAAAGATATGATGCAAATGGCTGCATCACTATTTGTCTCCCTTGAAAATTTCAGCCCGAATTTCACAAGAGTTCTGTGTGTAATTTTAATCAATCCTTGCCATTCTTGGACATCCTAGATCCTTTTTGATTTATTTGTACCTCAGTGGTATCCCTTTACCCAAGTAAATAATTACTTCAAGGTTTTAATCTATTTTAAATGATAGGCAATCTTCAATGGTGCTTAAATTGAATCCAATTCTATGATATAACCCCTTTGCCACCCCCCCCCCCCCGATCCAAAATCATTTCTCCTTACTGTCTCCCACAAATGTCTCACAAATTTGATATTAAATCCAACTAAATCTTCCACTTACAGTATTTTTTTTTTCACATCACCTTTCTGCTTGATAATGTATGGATATTGTACTCAGAAAATACTCGTTAGTCACACCCAAGAATAAAAGGGTTGACGGCTAGGAAACTGTATGATTTATTGTCACTTAAATTTGGGCTTAATAGCAGTCTTGTAAAAAAAGAGTTTGTAAGAAGTAATTGTCAGAGACAATTTCCCTCTTGCCAAAAAAAACAATAGTCCTGTGCACAACTGTTTTTAAAAAAACAGGCCATTTCTGAGCTTCAAGAGCCCTCATTTGAAAATGAGCCCTGTGCAAAGCCTTCATTGTGAAAATGACTTAAATTTGCCTATCAATAAAAGGTCATTATCCCAACAAAGGTTATGCAACAAGCCTCACCTTGAAACAGAGGCTTAGGTCTTTTCTGAAATGGTCTGTTTGATAAAATCTTCTTTTATGAACCTTAAAAAGGAATGAAATTAAATACTTTGACTTGTCAAGGTGTTATTGATTTTGAGAACTTAGAGTTTGGCTAATATTCTATTGATATTCAAATTCTTAAGCATTCTTAATGCTCTATATATTGACCATCACAAAAAAACAATAAAAAAAAAATGTGAATTCAAATCGTAGATTGAACCAAGTACAGTATTCTCCTTTTCAGGCTTTAACCCATAAAATTTACCTGCTGTTGTACTTCTTGTTATAGCCGATGGTATTCTGGAAGATAACACATTTAAAAGGATTGCTCCAAACACTTGAGGTGTACATTCAAACTAACTGCCAATATTTCAAGTGCCACAGAAATAACACTTAAGGTTTTTTTTTCCTGTTTTTCAAGTAGGTCATCACACTGAGGGAGTAATTTTTACTCTAACTTGAAAATAGTAAAACTTTCACCAAAAACATTTCAAATAAAAGTTATAACTTCCCTTCAGAAGCACTGTAGTACACATAAAAAACTCCTTATTCCATTAAAAAATATAAAATTCAGTTCTCAAATGATGCTGTATTGTTACAACTTGACAACAATTACTCTGTGCTATACTTTAAAAGGTTAATAATAAATGAAACAAATTAAAAGTAAGGGATGGTATGAGATCGCTAAAATGAAAAGCTGTGATAAAATATTCTCTCTGATGTGATAGTCTTTGCACTGACTTAAATTTCTCATAAATAATAGAAACTAGTAAAAAAGAAAAAGAATCCCAAAAACATCAGAAAGCAAAGTTCATCCCTGTACTGCTTTAGCAACTTAAAATTAACTGTTGAAAGTGATACCACACTCTGTTTTTTCTTATTAATTACTCACAGGCAAGTTTACAAGCCACAAGTTCTAAGCAACAAATTTTTGATATTCTAGCCTGAAAAATTGGAATGCAATACCACATGCAATTTTTAGCACTTGACTTGAGACCATTCATTTGATTGACACAACAGTTTCTTTAGGAAATTGTTAATTACACTGTTGGAAAGATTTTCCTGAACAGAAAGCAGCTGTCAGTACTTGAGCCAAAATATAAACCAAACAGAAAGAGCATGTGAAAGAGTCTCACAAAAAATAGTTGAACTCTATAATCATGTCACCATCATTAAGGATTACACCTATCTTAAAATTGAAAACAAAAAAAGGAATGAAACAGAAAGAAGGCAGAGCTGCTCAAGAAAATCTTATGAACTTGGCTCAGGACTGAACTCTAAAAATAAAAATGTTTTTCTAACCAGAGCCACAGCACAGTTTGCACATAATCACAAAAAAAATTAAAACTAATAAAAAAAAACCTGAATGCTTTGGGTTCAATGTTGGCAATCTGCATTTATCCTATCCATCTATGAACACTCTCATTCCTTTTCAGAAAATTTTTATCTCTTTGATGTTTTTCCACACTACCAAACTATTTCAAGTCAAATTCTCTAAAATGTTACTTAAAAATGGCTGAAAACAATATGATATTCCTGCAGTTTCTTTAAGAGTTGCTATTCCTCTCCCATTCTTTTAACAAAAAAAGTACAGCAACAACAGAAATTATAAAACATGTAGGTAAGACTCAACAATTCATCGCAAACCATGGCCAAGGTGACATGTATTTGGCCTTCCATTATGACACTGTCATCCATTAGAATTTGTTCACCTGACCTAGATGGAAAAAAGTTGAAAAAATCAATTAAATTATGACAGTAACTTTCAAACCATGCAAATTGTTCACCTTGCTTCAAAACAACATCTCAGAATCTAATTGAAGATGCAAAGAAAACATTTGTACTTCAGCAAAGTGCACTTTAGGTGACAAATCCAAGTGCATTTCTAATGGAGACTGTTTCTGTCTCTAAGCACAAAGATGGAATTGTGATCAACAATTCAAAAAAGGGACAGTGAAACCAATTTTAAGCTGACATTCCCAAGACTCTTGGTAGATTCCACTCAATACTGGGTTTTCTGTCAATGCAAAGTTAATAGTTTAAACCCAAATAGCACAATGTAAATAATGTAAAACCTATCAACTCTGGCTGCTTAGCGCAGATGAAACACAGCTCTAAGTAACCAAAATTGAAGACTTTTCTCTAGGTTTTTCCAAAACAATTATTTTCATCTTTAAGACTTAAAATCATTGGTAAAGTCACTTGGCCTTCATAAATTAAGGTTTTCAGTCACTTGCATTAAAAGAAAAATTCTCTGACCTCCTAAATAAAGCAGTTTGGCATAGTAAGCTGCATCAATTTAGCTGCCTTAAAAAAAAATAAAAAAACAACAACAACCAGCACTGCACTAAGTACTTGCTGCAGCTTGAAAAAGAACCTCTTTACCATATGTTTCATTTTTCAGAGATGAATTTGCAAATTTTTTTTTTGTTCTATGCCAAAAATTCAAGATTCCACACTGTCCCTAACCAGTCAACCTTTTCACACCCAATCAATTCTTCACCCTTCACCAAACATTTCTTGCCCTATTGGATCAAACAATTTGATGCAAAATCAAATGAAATCCCCTTTTTTAATTCTCAAATTGCTTTAATGCACAAAAATGTATGGATAT